CAATGGTTTGGCCTACGCAAAAAAGAGAAAAATCCTGGCTTAATACACTACATTTGTATGTATATGTGCACTTTTTTAGAAATTTTTAAGGTATATAAAATCAGGTTTCCGCCTAACAAAAATAAAGAGCTGCGTGGAGACGGGGCTCCAAAACGCATTATCAGCCACGACATCACCTATATGACGGTTATGAGCGTCGTGTATGAGGGGTGACGCACATTTTATCGCTACGAGATTGCTAAATCTCAGCCGACTGAGACTTAATCAACTCTCATTCGTTGGTATATTCGTTGGATCTTACATGGAGATTCGTGTATAAGATTTTTTTTTCTTTCTTCTTTCTTATATGTTCTATCACGTGACTAAGACTTGGTTAAATTTCAGTCAACTAAGATCTAGCCACACCATTATCCATAATGGGCCCTGGGCTCTGTTCAGGTCGTTGTGACTTTTTTTGTGAGAAAACTTCCAATCTATTCATCTTCAATCATGGCAATACAACATACGCCTGAAATAATAAAAATTACATCCAGATTCGTAGAACACCTAGCGACAACTACAAGCACTGAAGCGAGCCGAAGGCGCGCCACCGTCATCGCCCCTCCCTCGTCGGAGCCGGGCAAAACTTGTTGTAGTAGACAGTCGGGAAGTCTTCGTGCTAAGGCCCCATAAAACCAGTGTAGCAGAACAGCAACCGCCGCCGATAAAGCGTAGCGTAGATCGGAAGGATCCAACCTGAAAAAACACAAACATAGACGAACTACGACCAGATCCGAGCAAATCCACCAAGGATAGATCTGCCGGAGATACACCTCCACACGCCCACCGACAATACTAGACACACCACCGGAACAGGAGCTAGGCAGGGAAGACCTTATTACATCTTCAGGGAGCCGCCGCCGTCTCGTCTTCCTGAATAGGACACATACCCTAACAAAACTTGAAGAAACATATAAAAATGGAGCCCTCCCGCCGGCATGGACCGGGATCCACAGCGCCGCCATGGCCCTAAGGACACCGGAGACGAGTCGAACCGGCGGCGGCGCCGCCGGGAGGCAAAGAAATCCTAAGCTTTTCTTGGGGAGGAGACTGCATTTGAACTTTTCAGGTCGTTCTGACTTCCCAACGCCAGCCTCACTATTGTTTTCAAGCGCTGGTACAATTATGTGTTAGAGATTTCTTTTCATTTTTCTTGCCAGGGTTTTTCTAATAGGTTTTTTTTGGATTTCTTCCCTGGGTATTATAATTGGTATTTAATCAAAATAAATTCTTAGTTGTGTATTAGTATAAATGTTCAAAATGTATTAAAACATTTAAAATTCTTCATTATACTTTTAAAAATTGTTCGCTGTGCATTAAAAATTTGTTCACCATGTTTAAACAGAAAAATTGTGTTTATTAAGTTTTATTTTTCATATTAAAATATTGTTCATTGTGTAATATTTTTTTTCAAACCATGTACTCAATTAATGTTTGTCGTGTTCAACAAAAGTTTCACTAATTATGAAAATATGTTCATTATGTATTAAAAATGTCCAACATGTCTAAAATTTGGTCATCTTGTCTTTTCTATAAATAAATAAAAATGGAAAATGGGGAAAACATAAAACCAAACAAACCGAAATGAAAAGGTACAACAGAAAACCTAAAAAAGTTCCAACAGCGCTGGAAAACAAAAGAACAGGAACAACTGAAAAATCCACAACAGAATACCTTCATAAACTTTGCAGCAGCACAGTGAAAGAAACAACAGGAAAACCAAAAGAAAAAACAGGAAAATCAAAAGAAAAAACATCAACATAAAACCCTCAAAACCACAGGAGCAGCACATCAAAGAAAAAACATCAACACTCAATGGCCCACTCCATCCACGTTGGACATCGTGCCATAAGCCTCAGCCTGGAGCGTCCCATAGATTGGCCCATCCACGATGCACGCACCCTACATGCGATAAGACTATCGTTCTCAAGAAAAAGAAAACGTGCGATAAGACTATCTAGGCCGATCCATTAAAAAATAGTGGGTTCTTTTTAACATATTCTCTAGCATTCATTTTCATCCATTTCATCAGAAAAATCATCAAAAATTCAGAAAACAAAAGTTCAGGAATTAAAAAAATGTTAATTTTAAAGATGTTCAAGAATTGAAAATAATTTTTTGATTCGAAAAATCATTTCTCAATTTATAAAGATGTTTTAGGATCAAAAAATTTAATGATTTTAAAGAATGTTTGTGAATTCAAAAAATATATCATGGATTCAAAAAATGTTCGTGGAAACAAACAATTATTCATGAATTATATAAATGTACATATATTCGGAAAACTACTCAAGAATTCCATAGTATATATTCATAATTCAGAAAAAATGTTTGTGAATTTGAGTATTATTTTTGAAGTCAAAAAGTATTAGCAAAATCAAAAAATGATCACCAATTTTAAAAAATGGTCATGAGTTTACAAAAATATGTACTCCCTCCGTAAACTAATATAAGAGTGTCTAGATCACTACTTTAGTGATCGAAACACTCTTATATTAGTTTACAGAGGGAGTACCTGCTTTCAAATAATGTTCAAGATTCCAAAAATTGTTTGAGGAATTTTAGAAAAATATCATGAAATTGAAAACATGTTCTCGAAATCAAAAATTGTACATGAAATTGAAAAAATGTTCACAAAATCAAAAAGTTATCATGAAATCAATTTCTTTCATGAATTTATAAAAATAAACACAAATTTGGAAATAGAAAAGAAAAAATAATACAGAATAGAACAATTAAATACAGACAAGACCGAAAGTAAAATACAGGAAAAGAAACAAGCCAGGGAAGGTATGAAAGTTGATTGGATAGATGGGCCTGCGTCACTTTGTGCAGCGTCATGTGGGAGCGACTAGTTGATGGGCGCTCCTTCGGGAGCCTCACAAGGATCAGCGCCACTTGGCGCGCTCTCAGCCGCCCGCCACATGTCGCACTCTGGGTGCTCCCTTCATTTTTTTTCCGCATGCATTTTTGGCTTTTTAAACATTTTATTTGGGTTTTTTCGACGTTTCTGTTTTCCACCGATGTTCCTTAGTTTTTGGATAAAAAAATTAGAATTGCGTGAAAAAAGATGTTTTTTTTCTTCAGTGAGAGTCACGGTTTTGCTTCCGATAGAGCCACGGTTTTGCTTTGGCGAGAGTCACGGTCGTGCCTCTCGGAGACGAAAAAACGGGTTTTCTGATTTTTTTTTTTACATTCCGCGAGAGGCAAGGTTTGCTTCCGCTAGAGGCACGGTTGTGCTTTCGCGGTCGAAATCGAAAAAAATGTGTTTTCTGTTTTTTACCTTTAGCGAGAGGTCGAAAACGAAAAAAAAATTGTATCTCTATTTTTCTTCCTTTCACGAGAGGCACAGTTTTGCTTCCGAGGCATGGTTGTGCTTTCGTGAGAAGCACGGTCGTGCCTCTTCGAAAACGAAAAAATTATTTTTTTTGAAATTCTGACCATTTATGTAGAAGCAAATAATTTTTGAAATTTGTGAGAATATTGTTGAAATAGCGAACAACTTTCCAAATTCAAATTTTTTAAAGTAGCGACTTTTTTGATGATTTTAACATTTTTGAAAAAATGGCAATTTTCGAAATTCTGAACATTTTACCAAAATGTTCACAAATTTTTTAATTCCTAAACATTTATTAAAAGAAGGGGAAATTTTGTGAAGATTTGACCTGCTTTTGAAAATTATGAATTTATGAAACAATTAAAAAAAGTAAAGAAAAAAGAGAAAAGAGAAACCAAGAAACCTGTAGAAGCAAAACACTGATTCAAAAACATTCTAGAAGGTCCCAAAGCCGGTAAAACTGGAGTGGAACCTACTAGAAAGTTCCCGAAACCAAAAGGAAGAAAGCTTTTGCGTACAACTGGAAGTTATACGTTTCAGAGACGCTTTATGGCAACATGCAACAAATCAAAAATTCCGACCTACTACGCACATGCGCAATAGGAATTGCACATCAACTAATGAGATCACTAGTTAAAGGTTACCCCTTGTAAATGTCATTTTTCATCGTCCCTAGTGCTAACAAGTGGGCAGATTGCGTGTGCGCCACTTGTCGCAACCTAGGAGTTTCCTTTATTTTGATAAATTCATTTTTCAAAACGTTTTATCTCTTGGACCGTGTATCTAAATCATGAATACCTTCTTATTTCTCATCTCAATATCTTCAAAAGTAGATCACATATTAATAGGTTTTGACAAACTTTTTTTCATGAAAAAGAAAAAGGAAAACAAAAACAAAAATAAACAAAACTATAACAATTTTTTCCTTTCAAAAAAGAAAAAAAACGCAACGGAAAAACCGAAAACCCTCAAAAGCATAGTTGTGTTTTTTTACATTTTTTTAGAAGCACGTTTATGTTTCTCGCGGAAGCACTAGCTTTGCTTTTTCTCATTTTCAGGGAAGCACAACCGTGGTTCTTGTGGAAGCACACGATATGCTTTTTCGTTTTTCGGGAAAGCACAGTTATGCTTTTTCCTCTTCGAAAGCACAATTGTGCTTCTCGTGAAAGCACAAATACTTTTCTCATTTTTCAAGAAGCATAGTTGTGCTTCGCAGAGGCACATGTTGTGCTTCTTCTGAAAAAGCACAGCTTCCCAAACAGTAAATAAATGAACATATTTTTCCTTCAAAATCTAGAAAAACCAGACAAAAACAAAATGTCCTAAAAAAACCATCTAAAACCCAAAAGACATGTTAAAAATATATTAAAAAACGAAATCCAGAGGGAGTGCCTAAGACACGACATATGACGGCGGCTGGGCGCATCACTTGACACGCTTGCTGCCCAAAAAGTGATCCTTGTAAGGAGTCCCAAAAGGTAACCATTGGTGAGTTGCTCCCATCAAACTAGCCGGGCTCGACTCAAAAAAATAACATCGACTAGTCGGGCCAGTCGTGTAGCTGTATTACGTATGGGCTCTTACACGCTAGAAATCCCATTAGCCCAGAGCACGTCCTAACATATCATTCACGTTGCAAGTGAGAGACGTGACGACCCAAACCCTGAGAAATAGAAAAACGAGCTAATCTATGTGCTTCATAATTAACAGCACGACCCTTGAAAATAAACTTCAAGTTATGCAACTCTGCTTTCGCCCTAATCTCCGCAATGATAGCTCCATGCGCCCCTAGGGTTCCATTTGTGATATCGGACACCACCTGCTTGCAGTCGCTTGAGATCACGCAATGTGTCAGGTTCATGTCCTCTGCCAACGCTAGCGCTTCTCTGCATGCCGTTGCCTCCAATATCGTAGGATTGCTCACACCGTAAACAACCAGCGCCGAACTCCCCAGGTAGTTTCCTCCTTCATCCCTGCAAACAGCTACAGCTGCTCCACCTCGCTCATGCCTAACAGCAGCATCCACATGGATCTTAGCATACCCCGATGGCGGAGCCTTGGCTCTTGGGCGGGCTGAAGTAACCGATACAGGAACCCGGGCCGGTGTTGGTTTCTGTTGGGCTGAAGTTATCTGCAAATCATCGATGAACCTTCGAATGAATGCTTGGGTAGATTGTGGACTCTGAAAGATCCCTTCGTGTATTGCTTTCCTCCTAGCTGACCAGATCGCCCATAGGGTGACGGAGAGCAGCACAAACTTGTCGTGCTCTAACATCTCCATTAATGAAAACAACCAGTGTTTTGCATTAGGCTCTGTTACCGTCGTCATTTTATGCACCAATTCATTATCGATCAATGCCCAAACGCATCGGGATGCAGCACATTCCAGCGGCGAGTGCCTCCACGAGTCTGGTGCTCCACATAATCCGCAGCTAGCCGAATCAGCCATGTGTCTATGAGCTCGTACGTCGTTCGTGGGCAGGGAGTGTTTTGACAGTCGCCACAAAAACATTCGCACCTTAGCCGGGACGGGCGTTTTCCATAAAGTTTTCCACGAGCCTTCCTCAGCGTTTGAGTTTGAGGAGCCAGGGTTTCCATCAAGCCACGCTTCTCTTCTTTGCTTTGTAGCCACAATCATACGATAAGCGGACTTCACCGAAAAAACTCCATGCTTCTCATAGTGCCAGCTCCAGAAATCAGGCAAGTTACGTGTACACAGCGGGATGCTCAGGATAATTCGACTGTCCATCGGCAGAAAGGTCGCTTCTACCCTCGCACGATCCCAAGACGCGGATGTATGATCTATTAGCTCAGAAACTCTAGCCGGTGGATGTGTTGCTAAACACCCATATGGTCGCAGCATCTCCTCTCTCGGGATCCAATTGTCCCTCCATATATATGTTGTCTCTTCATTCCCGATCCTTCTAATCAATCCTTGTTTCAATGTATCTCTGCCTTCGATCACAGCCCTCCACACTTGACTAGGATGGCCTCCCAATTGAGCTTCTAATATATCAGATTGCGGGTGATAGATACTTCTGAGGATTCTGGCGCAAAGAGTATTGGGGTGCTGAAGTAACCTCCAGGCTTGCCTAGCTAACATAGCTAGATTAAACAGTTCAAAGTCCTTGAATCCCAAGCCCCCCATTCCTTTAGGTTGGGTCATTATTTGCCAAGAAACCCAATGCGGTTTTCGTTTGCCTTCCTTACTGCCCCACCAAAACTTTCTTATCAACTTGTTCAAATGTTCACACAGGCCCCTTGGGAGTTTAAAGCATGACATCGAGAAGACATGCACTGCTTGGGCTACAGCCTTAACTAACACCTCCTTACCTGCCGATGACATCGTGTTTGCAATCCACCCTTGAACTTTGCTCCACAAACTGTCCTTTAGATATTTAAAAGCACCGTTTTTTGAATTTCCAATATCAGATGGCATACCAAGATATTTCTCATTGAGAGTTTCATTGGGAACATTTAGTAAATCCTTAATCTCCAACCTTGCATTTTCAGGAACTCCTTTACTGAAGAAGATTGAGAATTTAGAGTAGTTAATTCTTTAAATATTAGTCTCAGTCGTGTCTGGTATGGCACCTCTCATGACCCTCGTTGTATCCCACATCATGTGGTTTTCGGTGATGAATAAATGAATTTTCACCCCTCAAAAAAAAATGTTGCAAGTGACAGACTGCGCATCCTCTCAGTCTCAGTCGTCAGGCCATGGCGAGTTCCTTTCCCACCCCGACCCTCTTGACGCCCAAGCTGTCCCTGCCACCGCTCGGTCCTTCGCGCCGCAACGCTGCCGCTGCGGCTGCCCCGTGGCCGCATCGTGGGCGGATCACCGCGACTACAGGAGGCGATGCTGCCGCAGCAGTAGCGACGACAGAGGAGGAAGCAAAGGCCAGGAAGGAGAGGAGGAAACGATGCCTGAGGTGCGGCGTCCTGTACCTGGACGAGGAGAACTCCCCTGCTGCCTGTGCCTTCCATGGCCACATCACCGGTAGGTATCGTATCAGCACCACCGACTGCCGCACTACACTACAGTACACTAGTTGCAAAATATCTTCAGGTTGCGGTTGGGCTTGCGACTCTGTGCGCGCTGTGTGCCACGAACGTCAGCTGGGGGCCATAGATCCTTGATCCTTCCTTCAGGCCGAAGCATATGACTGCCGCGGCCTATGCAAAACAATAGGCCCGAGGAGCTTCCCGAGGCCCGTTTGAGAGTGCACACATGCGTGTTTGTGTTGCAGGTGAGAAGGGGCTGTTTTCGCTGTCGCCGCCGCACCAGGGGGTCGACGGCGAGTGGAACGACAAGAGCGGGGTCATTGTCTACAGGTGGAACGAGCATGGCGACCGCCCCAACACCGGCCGTGCCAACTGGAAGGGAAGGTGGAGCTGCTGCCAGGAGCGGGACGAGGAAGCGCCGCCGTGCCGCCGTGGGTACCACGTCTCCTACGACGATGGCTTCACTCTCTTCTAGCCACACGTCTACACCGGTTGTATGAATATATGGAAGTTGTTGTTTTTTGGAACATGATACTGCTTTATGAAATGCAACAGTGTCCTATGTCCATTTATAAAGGAGGAGTACAATAGAGTTAAGAACAAGAAGAGAAAAAAATTATGTACAACAAACATCATGGTCTAAAGATCTCGGTTGAAAAATCAGGGTGGGTCGAACCTCTCCTCGGACTTGGCTTCTTTCCATGGGACTAGTTCGTGCCATCAGACTTCCTTTCTTCACTCTGTTTCTCTCTTTTAAGGTCATCCATGAGGTTAGCATGAGAACTGAACTCCACTTTGCTTCCTCATCATTGACTATGGATTATTTCACAAATGACTTAGCAGATACTCCCTCCATCCCGGAATAAGCTTGAGACACTTATTTTGGGATGGAAGGAGTAGTACTTATCAAGCCACACATAGTCAAATACTAGCGTGTAGTGCGCGGCGGCACGCCGCGCCACGTGAACCGATAAGGTATTTGGTTTTTTGCAATGTTTGGTAAGTCGTCCAAAGTAGTTCATACAAAGAAAGAGTACATCTAGTTGGTACACGCATGTGATCTACGGTAGGTGGTGATAATGGCTACTGGATACCGAATTGCAAAGGTTTGGTTTGCTTCTTAGACCAGAGATGTTGATCCTCTGTCTTGGTTTGTCTTTGTGATGTAGTGGTAGAGAGATGAATATATTTCTTCTGCTTTTGTTCTTGGTGATCTGTTCCCTGTGTAGACAATGTTGAAGTTGTTGCTGGATGCACATCTTGACTCTTAACGGATTGGCAAAATATTTAGAAACTGGAGAAAAACTTTTTTGGAGATCCTTGTTTGCCTTACTTCACTTGCTGAAGGTTTGCTTTTTGCCATGTCTCTATTTTTTTACCGAAAAAGGTTTTGCCATGTCTCTATTTCTAGCTCTTCTTTTTGTTCTTGCTCAACTCTTGTGTGGCTGAGCAGCTCTTGTACATCCGTCTTCATAGCATTGTAGTTGCAGTCGTTGATGACTATGGTGTGAAGAAAGCTAGTGCATGTTGTGAAGAAAGCTAGTGCATCAAGGGTGAACTAATCAGTTACCAATTTCTCTGAACCAGTCTTGACTCAAGAGGTGTCGAGTCAACAACACTTGCAGAACACAGTCCGCTGCACTAATCCTGGCAAGAGGTATCCAACAGTAGTAGCAACAACATTAGTAGACGGAATCAACAAAATGTCATACAAAGCAAACACCAAATACCGAAACACGTAAACATAGCTACATATGAATTACCTCTTAAGAGTGCATGACCAGGTGATCCCCCGATTGTTTATTAAAAAGAAACAATTACATACAGAAGCATCAGGGAGGAAATAAAGAAAGGAAATGCCTATAGGCTCACAAGGGAGCAATTTTGAACCTGATTCCCCTCACAATAATTTTACTCCCTTAAACTAAGAGAGGCCTAGTAAGATGTCAAGCGTATCCACATGAACAATACAATATGGTACATATAACTCTTTTAAAGTAAGGTTAGGCTTGTGCATACATACTAAAAATGATACTGAAGAACCAAATAATTCCAGAACAAACTTTATATTCGTGTAGGAACAAACTCCCCTAACATATTGCACCCTGCAGTTGAGTCACTAACACGCTGTACTTTGCGTAAATAGCTAGGGAAGCAAGCAACTTCTGCTTCAGTATAACCGCAATAGAAAACCGGCATGGTGAACATAAATAAAAATTGAAATAACAGCAAGAATACCCAAGCTAATTAATCAAAATATACTGTTAACAAGTTCCATTCTCACAATCAGGCGAGCTTTGGCTGGTGAAAAATACAAAATGATAGGATCAGTTAATAAAAATTGAAATAGCAGCAAGAATATCGAGACTTGTACAACCAAGTTAGCATTTCTGACACTACCACGTAAAACCACTCTTAGGTGAACTGTAATGATCATATATGATATATTCGCAGCCATGCTCTGCCAGTATCAATCAAAAAGAGAACTACAATCCTTGCAGAAGAGGACAATTGTGAATAGTACCTAGTTTTGACCAGGGCTCACCCAAACTGTGCCAAATACGTGTGTATCAGTGTGGCAACACAATTATCTGAAATTTAACATACAAAACCAGATCATGACAGCAAAATCAATTAAGGATTAGCCAAGAGCAAGCACACACAAAAAGAATAGGAGCATCCAATCCAATATGATCAAACTGTTTGAAAACAAAATAAACTACATGCTTGTACTGCGTTAAAGATGGTTTCATTTTCACATCTTGCAATAAATCGTTGAAGTTTATAGGGAAGGCGCCAGAAACAATTTCCATATAAATTGCTAAATGTCATATCATTATGAACTTCTCTTTGACTTCCCGCAATGACGATATGAAATGGCTATGCAGTGACCATGTGACTTGTGATAACAACTTCATGTCCCGCTTCTTATTTTCCTGAAATATCCAGCAAGTGTTGGCTATTTCATTGATAAGACGATAGCAGTATGCACAAACACCAAAGCGAAAGGAACAAAACTAAGAGAAAACTAAAAGAATATTAAAAAAAAGCATATTGGTCATATATTTTGCACCAGCTAGCCTACAATGCAGAATCAAACGCCGAATTGCCTGAATCAAGTTTTCAATGTGAAGGGATTTCTCCTGAAGAGACACCTTGCTGCTTATAACCTGCATCTATCTAAACCTTAATACTGAATCCAAACATGCACTTAACCTAGATGTTGATGCTTGTGTGTGTTTTAGTTCATATATGTAGACCAAAGCGTTCGTCCATCTATGGCTAGGCAGTGCAATACAAAACAAGAAGAGAAGTGAGAGAAGGTTGGTTGGCTACCATGGAGTTGGCAACTCTGTGAAGAACTTCATTCCCACAGATGACGATGTAGCCAAAATCGCCTTCATCCTCCTTTGGCACCGCGACGATCACTTCCTTGTAAAGATTTTCTCCCATGACTTCCCGCATCACTCCTATTGATTTTCCAATAGTACACGTCGAGCATGCTTTGAGTTCTTTTACCAGCAGATAGAAGACCCCTGCATATGTATACAGATCGACCATTGAGGTCAGTCAACATAAGAAATAAGCAACCAATCAGAGTAGATCAACCTTTGTGACCAGTAAAGATAGGCAGGAAGCAATCAATCAGAGGGCTCGACGCTTACAATGTGAACAGTGAACCGCAGTTTTGATTCGACTCCTGAGTCCTGACATATGGTGATGAGCATCCTGAAACCTGCAGCTCGCGAACACAAATCTGAGAATTGGAGGATTTGATCAACACAAACAGCGCATGAGATGACGGAACAAGAAGTCAACGTACCTGAGCTCGTCCGTGACGTCCTCCTCGCCCTCGCCGTCTCCATCTCCCATGTCGAGCGCGCCGACCACGACTCTGCCTCGGAGACCAGTCGCACTCGAGATGGAGCCCACGAGGAAGCGGGCGGGTGTGCCGAGGAGGGGGCGGAGCCCGAGCGCCCCGGCCGTGCAGCCGTGCCCCACCGCGTCGGCAACGGCGTGGCACTCCGTGGAGAGACAAAAACGTCCGTTATGGTTGGCCGCGAGTAGAGCTTGTGCCACGGACGATGGGAACTCGACGGGTACAGGGCCGAGCGCGAATCTTGCTCCCGTGAGGCCCACGGCATTGACGTCCTCCTCGCCGTGGCCCTCGCCACCTTCATCACCCAGGTCGAGTCGCCCTCCCGTGGCGATGGAGGTGGAGCCGCCGGCGCCGAGGAGCGGGGATAGCCCGAACCCGAGCGTCCAGGTCGTACCCTGCCGCGTCGGCGATGTTGTGGCACTCCTGGGAGAAAGGAGGGTGTCCGCTGTGGCTGGCCGCTACGTCGGCGCGTGCCACGAACGGGAGAACGACGAGGACGGGTCCGAGCGCGGATCCTGCTCCCGCATGGTCCACATGGTTGAAGCCCTCTTGCGTGGTCGAGCGCACGGACGACGACTCTGCGAGGGGGCCGTCGTGCCGGAGCCGCCGACCGCGCAGGTTGAGCCGGCGGGTACGCCGAAGAGCGGGCGGAGTCCGAGCGCCCCGGCCGTGTGGCTGTGCTCCGCCACGTTGGAAACGGTGTGGCTGTTGCTGGCGGTGACGAGGGAGGGGCGCCCGCCGAGGAAGGGCCTTGCTGTGGGGATGGCGGATCCCGCTTGGGGTCAGCGGTGTGACGACGGCGATAGGAATGGCGCGCCACTGCCTGAGTTCCATCGAGGAAGCAGAGACGGGGGCGGCGAGGTTGGAGGGATTGGTTGCGTGTACGCAGCCGGATTTGGGGCGCATACCAGGGGAGATTTTATAGTTGCAATACAGCGGCGAAGCGGTGATCGGTTGCACAAGATTTGACATGATCTTTCCAGAGCCAGACAAATCTAGAAGCAATGATCTAGAACCAATCCACGTGGTGCAAGACCAATCGACGTGGCGCAAGAATAGAAAAGGAGCGAGTCCACTAGTAATAAAAATATCAATCACACGTGTCACATTAACAAGGGCTGTAAAAAAAATTCAAAAAAACCCAGGTAAATCGAACCCTTACGGGCCTAGTCTTCTTAGTATGCAGCAGTTTACTCAAAAACAAAAAGTGCAGCAGTTCAGCAGGCACACCCCGCTGCGGCTTCACAGTTTTAGATTCAATTGCAACTCGCAAACCACAAACTTGAGAACACACCAGACGGTTCTGAGAACAACATGTGCATAGGCACAAACTAGACCCCAGTTTTATTCGAAAAGTACATAGAAAAGCTTTGATTGATTGCTCCAAAATATTTAATATGACCAAAATATCAATCCGCTATTAATTTTAGTATTATAGGACATGAAAATTTGTTGTGAGTGTGATTGCTAGTCCACGCGAGGTCAACTTGTATAAAGACGTGTACGTCCCCGACACCACCGATTGAGCACATCAGTTTTAACTTCGGACATGCGGCTTAGGCCTTATACAATGGCGGGTGCCTAGACATAGGTGC